CTAAAACAAGGGGAGTGAGGGACTCCAACCCATCGGGACTTGTGCTAAGGCTCACAACAAATGGGAGACACTTGGCTCTGCGAAGTGCGTTTGGTTACGCACAGGAAGTCCTAACCTAAAAGCTAGCTCTAGGAAATCGACGATCCATCACGCAGGCACGTCGTCGCGCCGACCCATGCCGGTGCACGCACCCCGTGTGGGCGATCGAACCCACACGCCTAGACACCACTAAACCTAAGGCTAGCTAGAAGTTTAGGGGATCTCACCACCGCGAAGGTTGCAGACGCGTTCTCTTTACTTGCTCCAAGCCGTCGACGTCCAGTCCGTGCTCCAGTGCATCCCACAATGAATCATGCAACGAGGAGAATAAAAGATAGGAATCAGGGAGTGCAAAATATCCAAAAATAATAATTTTGGCATATAGAAGTATAACCAAAATATACCTTCGCGAGGGAGGTTGCTCGATGACGGCGAACAAGGGGAACTCACGAGGTAAAAGAAGCACGCGCCTCCTCGAACAACGACAACGCTCGTTGTCCGGCGACGTCGAAGTGCTCGGGTGAAGTATCCGGCCGCCGGGAAAGTAAAATGGCGAGGTGGAAGAGTTGGCCGAGAAAAAGAAGAAGAATAAAATAATAATAATAATAATAATAATAAAAAATATGATATAACATATCAGGAGGCTATGACTAGATATCTAAGGGGTAATTATAATGTAGAATTTCCAACTTGCCCTAGCTAAGAAGAAGAAGAAGAAGAAGAAGAAGAAGAAGAAGAAGAAGAAGAAGAAGAAGAAGAAGAAGAAGAAGAAGAAGAAGAAGAAGAAGAAGAAGAAGAAGAAATAGAAGATGAAGAAGAAGAAGATGAAGAGAAAGGAGAGAAGAAGAAAGGAGGCGCGAGGGTCGGATTTTTGCGCAGGGAGAAACTGAGGTCTGCCGGATCTGGTCACCGGCGTTGGAGGATACCGGTGGACGGGCCGAGAAAAGGAGATCCGGAGAGGTGCTCGACGAGAGGGGAAATGAGAACCAGCGGCCGGAGAAGGAGGCAGAGGTCGGCGTCAGGCTCGCCGGCGGCGTCGCCGACCTAGGGGGGCGGGCCCCCGCCGGAGGGGGGGTCCACGCGGGCG